AGTCTAACTTATTTTTTTTTAATTTTTTTTTTTAGTGTGGACGTAACCAACTCATTCTTCAAAAAATTCAAACATTTTTGGAGAGAGCTTTTAATTTAGATTCTCAGCAATCAGAATTTGCTACAGAACTTGGATACCAAATGATTTTACAAGGAAAAGTCAAAGAGGCATCACAGTGGTATAAGATTGCCATGACACTTAATGAGTCCAGTATCTCTTCACTATTTGGTACAACTATTTTCATAAATGTTTCTAAGATAGATAGATGCAAGTAGTTGCTTAAAGAAGAACAAATATATTTTGTGGTTTTCTAAAATTAAACTGTTCTCTGCTATCGACCATGGAAAAAGTCATGTGCATTTCAAAATAAAATTCTACTTCACAAATAGTATCTTAAAAAGTAGGTTTTTATAAGGTAGTGCCTACAAATTATGGATTCTTTAGTAAATGATATTATGTAGTTTCAAGGCAACCCATCTTTTTCTTCTGTTTTTCATCTAAAGCTTCATTGCTGGAAGGAAAGTGTGTTTTACTAATGTTGTTTATGTTAGCTTGAAATATGCATGCCTGAATTGGTGTGAACTCTATTTTTGTCCTGTTTGGTTTTAGGATTTATCCAATGTCAGCTAATTGAAGGGCAAATAGAGGAAGCGGATCAGCAGCTGGAGTTTTTTACTGAAGTTCAGCAGTCCATTGGAAAATCTGCGGTACAGTATTAGATTTTTCTGCTAGTATTTATAATCTGTGAAAATTTAAATCAGTTGTACTGTTTTGTAATGGCTTTAAAGGACTCAGGTACATTGATTTTAATATGTATTTGCATTTGTTAATTTACCTCCATGCAAATCTAGATTTTAAATACTGCTGTAAACGATTCTACAAGTCCATCTAGCTAATACATAGATTTGAACAAATCATTGTACATAAACAACACTTTATATTCACTTGAAGCCTAAGTATATACTAGAAATTAGTAGCTTTATAACGGAATGGAATAATTTTGGGGACTATATATTTTCCAGGAATTAACCTACTTACATGCCATTCTTGCTATGAAGAAAAATAAACGACAAGAAGTTGTTATCAGTTTGTTGAATGATGTCTTAGACATTCATTTTTCACACTTAGAAGATTTACCTCTTGGCATACAGTATTTTGAAATGCTAAATCCTGATTTCTTATTAGAAATTGTTAAAGAGTATCTGAACTTCTGTCCCATGCAGGTAAGTAATTCTGGGACTTATTTTCAAGGGTGCTTTTATATGATGCTTTATAAATGATGCTAATAAGTTATCTTTAATGTATTAGACTGTATTGGAATCTTAAAATGATATCTGTATTAGCAGAAGTAGTTTTTAATCAAAATATTTACGTTAATGACTACTATCAACTAATAAAAGTGTTGATTTGCAAATATTCATTTGTTTTTCATAAAAATTGTAGCCTTCAATTTAGAAGAACTATTTAAAAGTCATCTAGTAAAGGACCACAAGAATGGAGAAGCAAGAATCCAATTTATTCAATTCTAATATGAAGCCAGTAGGTGATCTCTTACCCACAAAAGAGAAAAATCCGAATCAATTCAAGGTGGGGGTGGGGGGAAGAGGGATCAGGGAGAGGGGAGGAGAAAGGGGGAAAAGGGTGTTCTGACTTAAAGAGCACAATGTTGGGGTGTATGGCACACCTCTTGGGGGCAGGACACAGTTACATGAGGGACGGTACCTAACGAATGCAAACATTGTAACCTAATTCTTTGTGCCCTCAGTTATAAAAAAAGAATTTAGAAGTTCAGACACGAAGCTTCTATTTGAATCCACTCTGTAACATCACCATCAAGTGTCCATCCCTTCTTATGTAACCGTGATTATTAGACTGTAGTTCCTGTGTTAAGTCAGTCTGGGCTTTGTGTTGAAAAGGGGCCAACTGGTCCTTCTCCCTCTCCCTGGAGTAACAAAGAGCAAGTCCAGTTACTGAGAGCCGGATCCTTCCTCATTCATAGAACAGACCTTCTGATTTTGGACATTAGTTTTCCCATTTCCTTAATTCCATGTTTTCAACCATTTATTTTTTGTATGGTATAGTTTTGAGAATTCTGGCTATGAAAACTTGAGAATGTCCTTTCTGTTGTGTGTGTGCCTCTCATTAAGCTCACTATTCCAAATAAGCATTCCACCTTTAAGACTTAGAGCTGACCTCCCCCCGCCCCATATTTTGGATGTCAACCCACCTTTCTTTTCAGGAATCACGTTTTGTTATTAACCCTACTGAATTAACAGTTAACTAAAGTCCTTATTCAGTTAACTGAAGTTCTGATATCTTTTACTTCTTGTACCTTTGATCTCAAATGTAGGATTCTATATTTATTCCTATGAAATTTTGCCTTGTCAGCGTCATCTTATAATCCCATATTATCATATTCCTAATCTTTTTTTTTATTAAGTCATAGCTGTGTACATTAATGCAATTATGGGGTACAATGTGCTGCTTTTATATACAATTTGAAATACTTTCATCAAATGGGTTAACATAGCCTTCACTGCATTTTCTTAGTTATTGTGTTAAGATATTTATATTCTACCCTTAGTAGATTTGACATGTACCCTTGTAAAATGCACCATAGATATGGTCCCACCAATTACCCTCCCTACTCCTTCCTTCTCCCCTTCCCTCTGTCCCCTCTTTCCCCTTCATCTGGGGCTACAGTTGGGTTATAGCTTTCATTTGGAAGTGTGGGTACTTATAAATTAGTTTCCTAGTAGGGCTGAGTACACTGGATACTTTTTCTTCCATTCTTGAGATACTTTGCTAAGAAGAATATGTTCCAACCCCATCCATGTAAACATTAAAGGGGTAATACACCATGGAATATCATGCAGCCTTAAAAAAAGATGGAGACTTTACCTCTTTAATATTCCTGATCTTGATTGTCATCAGATTTGAGTAGAACTAGAAATGGAGCCCTATGTTGTATTACCAGAGAGGTCTTTCCAAATTGGTGTGGCTCCATCAGTCAGGACCCTTCTATTACAGACAGTAAGCAGATACAGACGTCCTGACTGTGTTATATTCAGCTCATATTTCCAACATTGCTGTCAGGAGCAGCACCATCAAATGCTTCATTGCTAAAAGCACAGTTCTTAGTGTCTCCCTCATCTGCAGCCTCAGTGACTGTAACCAGGGCAAGGAGGAAAATGACCTTTAGTGAACCCATGCTGCTTTTGATTGATAATCATGTTCTTACTCCAGGCTTTCATTACTGTTTGTTTTTGTTTTGTTTTAACTGAAGCCCCACAGAATTGCACCTGAGATTGATCTCAGTTTCCCCAGTCATGATCCCTTTTCACTTGCTTAGAAGTTGGAATACATTTTTTCAGTATTCATTCAGTATCCAGGGATTCATTCTGCAACTGTTTATGAGCGTACCCAGCACTCTGGTTGGAGCTGGGGAAATACTTGTGTAAAAACAAACTGCATTCCTTGAGCCTGACATATAGATTCCTACAGGAAGAGACAGATAATATAATGAAAAGTGAATTATGGAGTATCTTGTTGGAAGATGACAGGAGAAAATAACAGAGCAGGCGAGGGCCTTGGTAGTTTTAGATACAGTGGTCACGGGTAGGCTTATGAGGAGGGTAAGATCGGAACAAAGACTGAGAGGAACATGTGAAAATAGTCAGTGTTTTAAAAACTTAATGTTTTCAAGAGTTTCTCTGGCAGCTATGCTGTGAATGAATTGTGGGTGGAGCATTGCATAATGTATGACGTGGTAGTTAGGTCTCTAGTCCAACTAGACATCCTGTTTTACTTTACTGGCAGGACAGAACCTAATCAGCATTCATAATGCTGTTTTCATGAGGCAATTTCAGAAAGGCAGCATTGTCTCTCCAGCTATGTTCCTACTTATTTGACCCTTTTATAGATATAGCTTTGTTTTGAATTTTAACTGAATATAAACAATATGTTAAAGACTATGTTTATATAGTTTTTCTATGATTGCAACCTAAAACTGTTTGCAGTAAAAAATGTTGGTTGTTCTCAATAACTAATTCTCCCCAGAGGGCAAAGAATATTATTAGAACTTTACCATGACTTATAGTTGACTTTTTTACTTATGCTGAAAAAGTATGTTTTTAAAGAATTTATTGGCTTGGCGCCTGTGGCTCAAGCGGCTAAGGCCCAGCCCGGGCCCTCCAAACAACAATGATGGCTGCAACCAAAAAAATGGCCAGGCGTTGTGGCGGGCGCCTATAGTCCCAGCTACTTGGGAGGCTGAGGCAGGAGACTCGCTTGAGCCCAGAGTTAGAGGTTGCTATGAGCTGTGATGCCATGGCACTCTACCCAGGGGGATAGCTTGAGGCTCCGTCTCAAAAAAAAAAAAAAAAAAAATTTATTCTGTATTTAGTACTATGCAAAGAAGTATAAAATTCTAATCTTCAGGACACCTAAAGATCCTTAGTCCTATAAAAGAAGCGAAACTATCATAGATATGAAACTACTACTAAGACTTAATATCATATATTATATGTTATATAACATACAGTTAAATATATTATCCAATGCTTAATTTTATTATGCAGATTACATGTGAGAAATTTTAAGAAGTTGAAGTATTTTAGTTATATTCTGAATATCTTTTTGAGCACACTTTTTTTCTGTCCCAACATAGGTGAGATATAGCATTTTTTTGTCAATAACAATAGCTCTTTTTAGGAGTGAATTTTCCACAAAAGGATTCAGTCCAGTTAAGAATCTGTATGTGTCATGTAAAGGATTGGAAGGGAGTATGGAAGAATCATTCTTCATATAAAAGAATGAGCATTCATAAGGCAAAGCAAGGATAATGAAATTTGATATTTAAAAATTACTACCTTATAATTGGATGACCATTGGATAAATGTTGGTTGGATAGGCAGCCACTATAAGAAAACCAGGAAAATTGGCCCAACCAGGGATTCATGCCTGTAAATTCTATACTCTGGGAGGCCAAGAAGGATGGATCACTTCAGCTCAGGAGTTCGAGATCATCCTCAGCAAGAGTGAGACCCCCGTCCTTACTAGAAATAGAAAACTAATGACCCAGGAGTTGTTGCCCAAACTTCTTAGGAGGCTGAGGCAAGAGAATCACTTGAGCCCAAGAGTTTGAGGTTGCTGTGAGCTGTGAAGCCATACCATTCTACCCAGGGCCACAGAGTGATTCTTTCTCAAAAAAAAAAAAAAAAAAAAAAAGAAAGAAAGAATAATAGAAAATAGTAAAGCTATATTCTAGTTTTGCTTTAGTAATTATACTTACTTTTAATAAAAGGAAAAACGTTGAGGTTCTGCAATATGACAGGTGGAAAGAAAAGTGGAGAAACATTCAGTACAGCATACATGACTGTTCTACCTTCCGATTTCTAGAGGGAAAAATGAATTCTTTGAAAACTGACCTTCAAGGGTAGCAGAAGTAATAGAATTGAGTAAATTGCAAGGCAGATCTAAAATTTGGACACTCTTTGCCTTGATTGTATCAGGTCCAACAAGAAACTTTGCCTCCCAGTATCCTTTGAATAGATATGTTCTTTGAAAAAGTTTTTGTACAGATATCTTCCTTTCATGTTATCAAAACCAGTAATTATATAATCGTATCATAATTATTTTGTTAAATAAATGCCATTATTTGCATAGTCTGTTCATAGATCCCAAGGAAATAAATTAGTATTAGTCTAGTCATACTTTTAGGTATAATGAAATAGATAAAGAGAAATTTTATAAAAATATGTGTAGTTTTACTAATCATACTAAAATTAATGCATTTATTTTTAGTAAATGTTATTTTTAAATGTATAAAATGATATAATTCACTTTGTTTAGCCTACAAGTCCTGGTCAGCCTGTTACGCCACTTCTCAGACGTTGCACCTCAGCCTTGGAGATTATCGTGAGAACTGTTCCTGGGCTGCTACAAGCTGTCTTCCTAATAGCAAAAGTGAAATACTTGTCAGGTACAGTATGCTTTAAAAACTTAAAATGAACTCTTTATTCTGATGTTGATAAAAATAAGTGTAAATAAAGTGAGTGTTCCACATATTTGGAAAAAACCATGTAAAATGCCCATTTTGCGTTTGCAGGAGCCATTTCATCCAAGTTACGTAACTCACCGTTTAATCCCCTAAAAATTGGTGTAAACTTATGTGGTTCACATGAATTGCTGAGAAAACACAGTGTACCAATTAATAAAGAAAAAAGTCTGTCAGATGTATGGGGGACCAGCAATAAGAATTACAGGCTTTAATGCATAGTTATTGACTTCCTGGCAAAATAACTGGAACATTTGCCAGATTTGAGACCCTTGTGAAATGTATGATTAATGCCGGTTTAGTTTTTGTGAATGGTTATGTATGCCTTTAAAAAATTCCAGTTATAACCTTAACTTTTTAGGATACAGACAAATATATGACTTAACACATAAAAATAGACCATTTTATCATGTTGGTATTTATTTTTACCAGCTGAATGCTTTATGAAGTATATAAAGTTCGTAAAGTCATAATAGCAGAAACTGATTTAAAGGTGTTTTCATTTAAAAACATCTTTAAACAAAATTAAAAAAACCTTAGGTGATATCCAAAGCTTGTTTCACCTCTCAAATATGCTAATTATAAGAAGCAATCTGTAATACCTTTAGATTGAGTTCTGTTGAGCCTTGTAATATTTCTACTTTCCTCCCAATTGGAACGGTATTATCTACTATATGATTAGACTAAGACTTTGATTTCTGTAATTACTTTATCAAATAATTATTAGCTGTTCTAAAAAACTCATCCTCAGCAAGAGTGAGACCCCCGTCCCTACTAGAAATAGAAAACTAATGGAGGAGTTGTTGACCAAACTTCTTAGGAGGCTGAGGCAAGAGAATCACTTGAGCCCAAGAGTTTGAGGTTGCTGTGAGCTGTGAAGCCAAACCATTCTACCCAGGGCCACAGAGTGAGATTCTTTCTCAAAAAAAAAAAAAAAAGAAAGAAAGAAAGAAAGAAAGAATAATAGAAAACAGTAAAGCTATATTCTAGTTTGCTTTAGTAATTATACTTTTAATAAAAGGAAAAACGTTGAGGTTCTGCAATATGACAGGTGGAAAGAAAAGTGGGGAAACGGGACCGCTCTTAGATGAGAAAGTGATGTCGATGTTGGTCTCTGTTGCCATGGTGTTTTCTTCCCAGCAGTGATGACCCACTTCTCATTTTAAAATACTTAGTGGCCTGACGCTAGCCCCACACATCCTTCCCCTCACCTTTAAAAGAAACAAGAAAGATTTTGATGTCAATTATTCACACAGTCCTATTTTCTTCAGGGTCTTGGTTGTAAACCCTAATTTTTCTCTGTATACTTTGTCCTATAAAAACAATCTCTGTCTTCTCTTTCTAGTGTGACCTAGAAATCAGTCACAATCTAGTAATACTGAATTACTAGAGTCCCTAGGGATAAAAGTTTCCTATATTAACCTCATTTCTAAAAAGAGCAGGCTTAAGTCATTTGACACATGTTGCTAAATTGCGGATTCCAGTGATTTCTGACACCAGCTTGCTGAAGTTGGACCAAACATCACAGATTAGAGGTGCTGTCTTGCATAAAACTGCCCTCACTTTAGCTATCACAAAATTGGGGATTCTGAGATCCTGCATGTCTGACTAGCTGGCTATAAATTTGGAGGTTCCTGCAACCTCTTTAGGTTCAATGGCGTACTAGAATGGCTCACAGAACTCAGGAAAGCACGGGACATATGATTACAGTTTTATTAAAGTAACACAGTATTAACCTGAAAGGGTTAGGAAAGGAGAGATGCACAGGGTAAGGCTTTCCCTGTCCTCGCCTTGTGGAGTTGGGACATGTTACCTTCCTGACACTCAGAGTATTAACAGCTGAGGAAGCTCAACCAGTTTGGGTGTCCAGATTTTTTGTTGGGATTTCATTAAATAGGCATGTATTAAATCACTGGCCCCATGATGGAACCCAATTTCCTGCCTTCCTCTGGCTCCAAGCCCCCATCGTCTAATCACATGGTTGGTTTTCGTGGCCCAGCTGGTCTGCAGCCCGAGAGGTCCACCGTGAATAAATCATCAGGGACCACTTCAAATAAAGAAGGTGCTCCTATCACTAGGGAAATTTCAAGATTTAGAGGCTCCCTCCCAGGAACCTGAGAAAAACACCAGCCAAACATTTTATTACTCAGGACCCTGACAAAGACAGATACGCAGGACTGAAACGGCTTCCACTTTGACTCCAGGGAAATGGGACCTCTCTTAGATGAGAAAGCGATGTCGATGTTGGTCTCTGCTGCCATGGTGTTTTCTTCCCAGCAGTGATGACTCACTTCTCATTTTAAAATACTTAGTGGCCTGACGCTAGCCCCACACATCCTTCCCCTCACCTTTAAAAGAAACAAGAAAGATTTTGATGTCAATTATTCACACAGTCCTATTTTCTTCAGGGTCTTGGTTGTAAACCCTAATTTTTCTCTGTATACTTTGTCCTATAAAAACAATCTCTGTCTTCAAGTTACCACCATAATATTCCTCTTTCCTAAAAGAATTGTCATTCAAATTTATTATGTTTAACCTTTCCTTTTTTAAAAAAAAGAAAGGAGTTCTAGGTGTTGGATTGTATAACAGTAAAAGGAAATCCATTATTATTAATTATACTTAATGATTGATAGCCAAATTTTGATACTGTTCAGTAAATTATTGTGCTATCTCAGCCAATTATTTGTCTATTAATCCTGTCTCTGAGGAAAACATTTTCTGTTGCAATAGGCCTCTGCGTTCAGTAGGGTGACTCCTTGGGAACGAGAAGGCTCTGACTATACACCTTATTTTGTCTGTTGAGGCATCAGGTAAGGTTGAGTATATCTGAACAGAAAATAATTTAGGAGCTCTTCTCCCGTTCTCCTAGCAAGGTTGCCTGGGAAGGTGGCTGCTCATGCCGACTGAAGACCAGCTTATGGGACAGCTACATGCAGATCAGTGCGGTTATATCATGAGAAACTTCTAGGACCAACAGTCTGTTGTTTTTTCCTCTAAAGAGCCTCTTCCTATCCCATCTGCCAGCCCAAGGTTGATTTCACCATTCTGGTTACTTTAATCTTCATAATTCTCTTCCATTGTAAGACTTTGAGATATAGAGCAGATGTTTTTGAAACAACTAATACTTCAGTCAGTATTTGAAGGCATTTGAAATCTATAACCCAGATTTCTGAACCTCTGGAATATATCCTGTGCCCTTTTTGTTAGTTTATTTGTAGTAGTAATAAAGGTTTGGGCCTAGAATGATTACTGGACTATATCCTCTTTGTTAATGTAAGTGACACTATAGCTGCTGCTTTTTAAATGCCTGTGTTTTACACAATTTATGTTGGTGAAATTGTAAATAACACCTTTTTCTTGACGAGGAAAATAAAGGTCCATTTGTGGGCCTCTGAGTGGTACTGGCGCTTGACTCTCCTCTTTCATGCTGTCCCTGGTTTGCTCATTAAGATCAAGAACTGGTCTGACTGGCAGGTTTATTTTTTCATATGAACTAGGAGGTAACTAAGGCAGATAAAGTTAAAGCATGACCTTATGAACTAGGAACTTGAAGTTTAAATACCAGAACTATCTATGAGCTAACCACTTCCCCCTCCTGTGTCCCAGCTCTGCTCTCTTACTCACGGGAAGCATAATGATGCGTCCTCTCCCTCCCCAGGTGACATAGAAGCAGCTTATAATAACCTGCAGCACTGCCTGGAGCGTAATCCCTCTTACGCGGATGCTCACCTCCTGATGGCTCAGGTTTATTTGTCTCAGGAAAAATTCAAATTGTGTTCTCAGTCTCTGGAACTTTGTCTGAGCTATAATTTTAAGGTAAGTATTCCAGACTCAATTGGATAAGACCTGTTCCCCTCCTTGAACATTTACTTATTCAAGTATTTTTGCTTTAATGTGATGTCTTGCTAATAATTGCGTTTTTAGTGGGAACAATAATTGAACACAGAAGTAATAGGAGAAGTGGAGGCAATTCGGATGTGTGTAAAAAACTATATGAACTTGGCTATAAAAGACCTTGGGTTGGTGTCTGGGTTTTCTGTATATTTCTCCCTGAGAGTATTTTCTTATTTTTTTTTCAATAAAACTCATAACATACTACTCTACCGTTGTGATAATTACACATAATATTTAAATGCACTGATGAACATGTGTAGAAATACCTGTACACTATAGAGCATCAGACTAAATCTCTTCCTTTGTTGGACCTTGCTTTTGAATAACTTCCTTTTAGTTTTATCGGGTCATTTTGAAAGTTATTTTGTGGTTTGAGGATATATATATACATTTCTGTCCAAGATATTCTGTGTATAACATCCAGTATCCCTTCAGGATAAGGGAAAACAGAGGTTCAAGCACTTCCTGAACTACCTACAGCCAAAGAGGAGTTTTTCAGATTTCTGCTGTGCTGCTCAGGATCTTAAGCCCTGTGGCGGGAGAGCCCTCGTGTGAACTAGAGAATTCAAGTTCTAGTCAGGATTTGCAGAAAAATCACCTGCTTCTTGGGGCCGTAGTTTTCAAGACTGATGGTGCATGATCGCCCCAGTGCTGGTTCCCCCCGCAGCAAGTGGAAGGGTCTGAGAGGCGAGCACGGACCTGCCTTCCCTTGACTGCTTTTTCCTCACTGATTTTGTCATTCTCGTATGTTTTTCATTTACACTGTTGATCTCCAGAGTAAAGACACAAGCTCTGTTAGTCCATATCTATCAGTGAAATAGAAGGGTAAGGCCAATGTTTGATTAAAGTAGACTGACATTTCAATCTTAAGAAAGAAAGGAAATCAAGGGGAAAGAATGTGTTTCTAGAAGTATAACAGCTTGCTAACAGTACTAAAAGTCCCAGGATGAAGAAATTCCTTTTCCTTTCTGAAAACTCCTTAGAATGTACTTGCCAGTCTTACTAACTGCATTTCCTTTTCTGTCAGAGTAGAAACACCTAATCAACCTCTTTGCCATCCAGGAGGATGTTAGGTAGTGGCAGTTTCCTTGACTCTGATTTAATAAATGAAGGGACAGAAATATACCTAATGCATACGATCATAGATGGCCAGCTCTCAGCGAGCCTGTTGTTTTAATGTTTGATGAATTATAAGTTATGTGTTAATATGGGCACTCCAGAAAGCATCACTAAATGTTTTTTAGGTGAGAGAATACCCTTTATATCATTTGATAAAAGCTCAGTCACAGAAGAAAATGGGAGAAATAACAGAAGCGATTAAAACTCTGCATATGGCAATGAATTTACCAGGAATGAGAAGAATCGGAGCTTCCTCAAAAGCCAAATATAAAAAAAATGAAGTTGATACAAGCCACCGCTTATCAATCTTTCTTGAACTGGTAGATGTTCACCGCTTAAATGGAGAACAGGTAGGTGAAGTTTTAAATTCAGGGATTCAGATCTGAATATATTACTCAGATCTGATATATATATATATATATATATATCTCAAAGTAATATATTTCATTTTCTGATATATATCAGTAGAAAATGAAAAAGCTGACATTATCCCCTTGACCAAGTGGTAAAGTTTAGAAATTTTATTTTTCATTACTCTGCACTAAATCACATAGTTTCTGCAAGCCCCTGAAAGTTAAACATAATTTGGTCCTGGATGACTTGAAGTATATCAGTGTGCTTAAGTTGGCTACTATGAAGTGTGATAATATATGTAATTATCTTGGTTACTGTGAAAGGCAATAATACAATACAGTTGTAATCCTGTGAATTCTTAAAGGAATTAACACACATACACATAAATGCACAGACATACTACTGTAATAAAATGAAAATGCCAACCAGGAATTCTAATAATTGAGAAAACAAAGTGAATACTTAAACAATATGGCTTTGGTAAACCTGTAGGAATATCCTAAAGTCAGATACTTTAAAAAATAATACTACGGAGATTAAGTAGAATTCTGGGAAAATGAAAACCTTATAGAAAATAAAGAACTTGAAGTCGTTTGTCAGCGTTTCAGGTTTCAGAGCTTTCTAGTCACATATTTCATTTTTTAGTGAAAATGAAGGTGGTTATATTGCTAGACATTTACCAAATCGCAAAGAATTTTTATTTTACTAATAAATTAATTTAAAATACATTTAATAAGTAGGGCTGATTCTACTGTATATAGGTGATTGATTCCAAGATGTGCTCTTTTTTTTCACATTTTAACATTTCTGAAATCAAAACATCTTATAATCTCTAAAGTTGAGATGAATCTTAAATGATATTTTAGATTCATTCAGGTACATACTTGAAAATTAGGTAAGTAGTCACCCAAGATAGAGCAAACTCTCAATTTCTTTACTACAAGATGAGCTTAATAAATATAACAGTAACTATTAGAGGGGGGGTTGAGAATTAAATGGGGTAATACAATGTTGGGTACAAAGTAAATGTTCATTAAATTATGGTAACAGTAACTGTATAGCAACTTTTGTAGTCCTAGTTTTGTGTACATTTATCCAGCTAACAAATATTTATAGCCTCATCTGATTTGTGTCTCTGAGTTTAATTTTAAGTTTTTGTATTTTTTGGAAAAATCTGTCAATTTATTTCACCAGTTATCATAATTGTATGAGCATTTATTCTGTATAATTAGAAAACCCCCCCTTTCTACTATAATTTGTTGACTATTTTGAAAGAATAGTATTTTCATTTTATCTTTATAGCATGAAGCAGCAAAAGTTTTACAAGATGCCATCCATGAATTTTCCGGAACATCTGAAGAACTGCGGGTTACTATTGCTAACGCAGACCTAGCTCTGGCCCAGGGAGATACTGAGCGGGCTTTAAGCATGCTTCGGAATGTTACAACTGAGCAGCCTTACTTTGTAGAGGCAAAAGAAAAAATGGCAGACATTTATCTGAAGCACAGAAAAGAGAAAATGTTATATATCACTTGTTACAGGTAAATAATTATCTCAACCCATTACGTTTTAGCACACTTGCCTCCTAATAGTAATTCCCAAATTTCTTCTTTACCTCCGTTCACCTGTTGTATAGATACTTTACAGATCCTTTCCATTATAGTCTTGATTCCTTCTTCTGCCAGCCACAATCAACACTAACCAAGTCATTTCCTCTCCCTAAAACATAAACGTGATTAGTTCAAACTGTGGCTTACCCTGGCTTCTCAGTTCTCCTCATCAAATGTTATTTCTAGACTCTGAATCTTCCTCTTGCAGGAGGGAAAGCGCAACAGTTACATGTATCCTAATAACTTAAGAGGATTATGTAATGTAACAACAGTCTAGGGCATACACAGGCATGTTTAATCATACAGAGTAGTAGTAGAAGGAGGTTGTAGCTTAGTATGCAGCACACTAGAGTATGCTTTACCACATTTTCTTGGTGAAAGGACAGGTGCTTTAAAAGTTGTATCTCACTGATGCCCTTAGGAGTTATTGGAATACATCACACACACACACACACACACACACACACTCTCACACACACTCAGGTTGTTCTTTGTCTTCTTCCAAACAAAAAGGTAAACATGCAAGCATATACTTTATGTAAGAGAAAATGAACGTTTTTATCTCTTGATAACATAGTAAAATGTTGATGAATTAATTCAATGTTCATTTATCTGTATTTTATAAATAACAAAGCTCAGAAAGCTGCATAGATTCCTTGTAAGTGCTGAGTGATTCAGAGAATGTGAGATGTTTAGCTGGATGAGCTGGACCTCTCAGTGGCATTTTCTAAGATATTTACAAACAATAAGTATTGTTCTCTCTAATGATGCAAAAATACTTAAAAATGGGGCTGAGTTGTTCTGGATGCACCATAATAGTTAAAAAGCATTGGTTTCATTTCAGGTTTTTCTGAGTCATTAGCTACAGACTTAAACTCTTAATGCCATCTGTAAATTGGGATAATAATTTTTTTCAAAGACTTTGTATATTAATTAGAAAAGAACTGTATGTCAAAGACATAGACCCATATTATTATTACTATTATTACTATTAGTATATGAATAACTTTGGTACTTTGACCTTTCTTGGTATAAATATTACTGGTAAAAATAAGCAGCAAGTACTGAAGTAGAAGATTTTGCATTTTTTTTAAGGTAATTCATTTTAGCCTTTAGTTTATGCTGTGGGTATCAGAGCTCAACATACATAAGAGAGTCTTAAGATTTTATTCCCTCTGTCATTTTTTGGGTAACTTCACTCCCACATAATTTCAAAATTAAAGGTAGCAAAATGTGCATCTCCAGATAACGAATGTTTTTGTTTACCAGCTACCTGTATTCTATTACCTGCATTTAAGAGAATGGAAAGATTCAGTGACAGAAATTATTGATCTAGCACAGGTGTCCTCAAACTACGGCCCATGGGCCACATGTAGCCCACCTAGGACATTTATCCAGCCTACTGGGTGTTTTTGCTGCCGCTGCCTGTCCTGTTTAGCAGCCGACTCGTCCTGGGGCCCACAGTCTGGCCCTCCAATGGTCTGAGGGACAGTGAAATGGCCCCCTGTTTAAAAGTTTGAGGACCTCTGATCTAGCATAAACAATCTGGGTGGGGGTGTGGGTGGGGTTTTTATGACATTATACTGTTGGATATGTTGAAGGTACTCTAAAGGCTACTACCTATTTGAAATAAATGGGTTTACCTTTTATTTTACTGATTTAGAAGAATATGTTTGTATTCAAGATACTAAGGAGAACTGGTTTTCTTTGCAGGGAGATTGCTGAAAGAATGCCCAACCCTCGCTCCTTCCTTCTCCTTGGTGATGCATACATGAATATTCAGGAGGTAAAATTGCTGGTGTTACCGAACTTAGATCTAAAAGAAAGAAAACTCTTTGTGATTAATGTAACTTTGTAATAAAAGGAATTTGTTTTTGTTAATGTTTTTTAATATTTAAAGATACAGTTATCACAATAAAAAGGATAAATAGCCAGTAAAATTTGATAAAAATTTACTTTTTTCAAGTTGAGATCCAGGAATTCAGTGTACCATTATTTGAAATATGTAGTAGAGATGGCAGAAGTCATATTGATGAACAATGAAGAGAGCTACTGGCTAAGGTTTCTTCTAAGGGCAGCAGCTGTCTGACTCTTTGTAACTGCTTGTTATAAGGACGTCCAGAAGTGAACAGTCAGGAAGCTGTCTTTTAGTTCTTACATGATTATTTTTGGAGAGAAGAGCACAATATGGGTTGGATTATACCAATAAATTATACCTGCCCTACTCACTATCCCATTTCTGAAATTGTCGAAGTTCCTGGAATTTGTGCTTAGTTTTAGGACATATTCCAAATGTAGATCTTATGTATAGAAACGTTGCTGTTCAATGGAATTCGGTTCATCTGGTTTTCTTACTTATTTTTGTGTTTGACAAAATTAGCCTGAAGAAGCAATAGTAGCATATGAGCAAGCATTAAATCAGAACCCGAAAGATGGGACATTAGCAAGCAAAATTGGGAAAGCCCTTGTCAAAACCCACAATTACTCAAAGGTAAGTCCCTTTCAGATATGTCCACTGGATCCAGTGTATCAAACTGTGTTCCAGAGGCTTCTTCAGCAAGCCCGTGTGCATCTTTAAGGGTTGTAAATGCAGATTTGTATTTAGGAACTGGGATTTGTGTTGCAGCCTTTCTCAGTGTTTTGAATTCTTCATTACTTTATTTTGTAAAGTTTGTTTGGGCCCCTGAATTTACTTCACACTTCATTTTGCAGCTACATCATGATTACCAAATCAATTACCCATAAAGCTGCTACTCCTGCGTCTCTTTCATTATGCGACAAAGCATGATAAATGCTCTTTGTACTGCACCAATTGTGGCAAGCTATGTGTTTTGAGTGATTTTTTTTTTTCCTAGTAGGAAGAATAGATTTTGCTTTAACTGTTATATTCTTGCCCTGTTCCTGGGCAATTGTTAAACAAATATACCTTAGCTAGCAAATGTGTATATAGCATTTGAATGTATAGTGTGTGCATTCAATAAGGTTCACTGGCCTCTAGAATAAAAACTGTAACAAATTTTTTTTATAAACACTGTTACTTAGCCACTTATCCTAAGAAATTTTAGTTTCTTTGTGCTGTGTTTGGTTCTCTAAGAAAAACGGCATTCTTAATAGACAAATATAGCCTAAGATTCTTGCTGGTTATTTTTATTTATGCAAATGTTTTAAGTCTGTAATGTGTAAAATATCTATGCTTGAAAGCCATTCTCATTACCTTTTTTTTTTCTTTTCCATAAATGAAATGGGTTCTGTTTAGGCCATCACTTACTATGAAGCTGCTCTGAAAAGTGGACAACAGAATTATCTCTGCTATGACCTGGCCGAGCTCTTATTAAAACTGAAATGGTATGACAAGGCAGAAAAAGTTCTTCAGCACGCTCTAGCGCATGAATCTGGTATGTGAGTCTTTCTGATTTGAGAAAAGAGTAGTTGATAAGGCTGATATTTTAATTTTTATGTTATAAAGATGTTTGTGTGTTTGTATTCTCAGTTTTTTTATATGTGTGGTCAATTATGTAGATACACATGTATTTTTATCAGAATGCTACTCTCATCAAATAAGGTATTTTACAATCGAATAAAAGGTTTATAGAAAGATAGCTTACATTCCAAAATGATATAAAGTAAGTTATCTTTAAATTGCAGCTACCTCTGGCATACAAACATGTTAACATACTTATCATCTTTACTTTTTTAAAAAGTGACACATGGGTCTTTTAAAAAATTCAAGTACTATCTATATAAGAATATAATGTGTAAGCCATCTGTTTTTCTCTTGAATTCCACTTGCCTTGTTCTCAGATTACCTCCTAGAGGCAGTTTGTGATTTAATATGTACGCATATTCTCTGTGTGGGGGTGTGTGTATAAATGTGCTTAGTGTGATTTTTTTGTTAAATCATAACTGTGTGCACTAATGCGTTTATGGGGTTCAGTGTACTGATTTGATCTACAATGTGAAATGCTTACATGGAACTGATTAACACATCCATCGCCTAGCTTACTTATTTGCTGTGCTAAGACAATTATACTCTTTTCTTAATAGTTTTGAAATGGACCATTGCATCATGCACATTAGGTGAGGTCTCCCCAAATTTCTTCTCTCCTCTTCCCTGCTACGTCCCTTTTGGAAAGAAGTATGGAGAATACTCAGGAATCTAAAAGTAGACCTGCTATTTGATCTTGCAATTCTTCTACTAGGTGTATATCCATCCAAAAGACCAAAAATTACTTTATAACAAAGATATTTGCACCAGATTGTTCATTGCTGCTCAATTCGTAATAGCCAGGTCATGGAAGAAGCCCAAGTGCCTATCAACCCATAAATGGATTAATAAATTGTGGTATATGTATACCAGCCTTAAAAAAGGTGGACACTTTACCTCTTTCACGTTTACATGGATGGAACTGGAACATATCCTACTTAGTAAAGTATCTCAAGAATGGAAGAAAAAATATCCAATGTACTTAGTACTATTATGAAAACAATTTACAATCACTCACACTTTCGTATGAAGAATTGATCACAACTATGGCCCAGGATGAAGGAGGGAGGAGGGGGGAATGGGAAAGGAGGGCTGAGGTCAGATCTAGGGAAGATGAATGGTGGGATCACACCTATGGTGCCTAATGCAAGGGTACATGTTGGATCTATTAGTATAGAGTATAAATGTCTTAACACAATAATTAAGTAAATGAGATGAGATGTATATTAACCAGTGTGATGTAAACGCTACTAATTCTATATGAAATCAGCACATTGTACCTCATTAAGTGCATTGATTAATACATGATCTATGTGTTTATGATTTAATAAAAAAATTTACTGTGGCTCAAAGGAGTAGGGTGCCAGCCCCATATGTTGGAGGTGGCAGGTTTGAACCCAGCCCTGGCCAAAAACTGAAAAAAAAAAAAAAAAAAAAAAAAAAAATTACATGATCATATACATGCTCATACACAGATCATATATGACCAATGTGTTTATGGTTTAACAAAAAAATTTTTAAAAATTTATTTGGATACTATCAAATTGCTTCCTTACAAGTTTATATGAAATCTTTTTTAAGATCTTTATGTTTTAATAAAATCTGGTACTTGCTCATTGCCAGAATTTATAGATTATAGAATAGAACTGTGTCCTCTGTCACTCTCCAGAGAATACCACATTTAACCACCTGGGTATCTGTCATACTTATCAGTCTCCTGCCTCTTATCTTTTTATGTCTCTCATACAAACACAATTATGTACCACTTTTTTCTGCCTATGGTGTATCTATAATTCTGCAATGTGCATTTTTCTTTTACTAACTTCTTCCCTTGTTGGTAAATATAACTCTTCTTTATTTTTTCAGCATCTGTAGAGTATTTCACTGGGTTAATAACATAATTTATTTGATGACTCGCCTCTGGTTGGACATATAGATTAGATAAAATTCAGAAACAATACTGAGATAAAATCCTTGTGTTCTTCATAGAATTGAATCTTGTCCCATCGTTCTTTCTTAAGACTAAAAGTTTCCCAACGTTATATACTAAAAAGAAATAAAAACTAATTTTAATTTTCATATCTTTGACGACTGGTAAAGTTAGGCATTATTTTTGTTTATAGGCCTAATTTTCTTCTTTTGCTTATTTATAGTCTTTGTTTCTAATCGTTTATTTGTTATGTGTGTTGTAGACATTTTCTCCTAACCTGTCCTTTATCAAATTTGTTTATTATATCTTTGGTCAGCTAGATAGTTAATGACTGATTATATATCATATCTGCCTGTCTTTTCTTTTCTGGACTTCTGACTCTTTTATCATTCTCTAAAATAGTTTTCCTGATCCTAACATTACAAAAAAAGTCCAAATATTTTAGTTATTTTTTGTTTTAATTTTTACATTGAGAACTTTAATCTATGTAACTTCAAACCACATACAGTTTTTACTGTATAGTTTCCAAAATGGCAGCCAATTTCATTTTAGTGCCATTTATGGAAGTGTCTAATAAACTTCCTCAGATACATGACTGTGATTATGGGAATCTTTGTTTTGTTACACAGTTATCTTCTTTTCTTTGGCCAATGTATTTACTGTGGCTTTAAAATATGTTTGGATACATGGTAAGACAAGCCTGCTGTAAGTTTTCTTTTACTTCTAAAATGGTCTTTTAATTTAGCTTTGATAATGTTAATGCTTAAATCCCCCTAATTATGAATGTATCTATTGTTTAAATAGTATTAGTTTTATAAAAACATATGGATGGGTCCATCAGACCTTCTGTTGAAACCCTCAAAAGAACCAGTACTGGATATACATTTTGGAAAGGTTGGGGGGGGGCACGAGATTCACATATTACGCATTTTACTTACATTTGGTGTATTTACATAGTATAAATGCTTTCATTTAATGAGTATTTACTGAACACACCCTGTGGTGTACTTAGCTGCCTTCATATGCTTTTTATTTATTATTTTATTAGTAAATTAATCTTTGAGGCAAATGTAATTATTCAAATTTTTAAATTAGCAATCTGAAATTCAGTTTTCTTGATGTGTTCTGGGTAGCACACCTGGGTTCTAATAAACATCTTAAACTTAGTAGGTCTGAAGGTGAATTTCTGATTTACCTCCCACATCTGCTCTACATGTAGGCTTCTTCATTTTATCAGTAACAGCTTCATCCTTCTTTGAGGTTACCAGGCTAAACTCCTTGCCCTTGCCGTTGCCCTGGGGAAGTGTTATTCAGAATCCTACTGCACCTCACTAATTCCACTACCATCACTTATCCACGTCACCATCATCCCTCAGCTGAATTTTGACAATTGACCCTGGCTGATTACCTGCTTTCATCCTCAACCCTTCACCCATGCAGAAACCTCTCTCAACCCAGCAGTAGTTTTCAGCCTTTTAAACAGAAGTGCAGTTATGTCTGCTCAAGCTCTCTGGTGCCTCCCATCTCCCTCAGAGTTACACTAGGCTCTTCACTACGCCATGGCTTCCCTGGGCCCTCCCATCTGTGTGCCTGTGCTGCTCCTGACTCCCCTGACTGCTCCTTCTCTGCTCTCTCCTGCACAGCCACTTTGTGGTACCTTGTGCCCAATTTAGAGCTATTTTTACCTGTACAATAATGATCTAAAAATCTGCCTGTTAGGCAGAAATTTTAAAGAAATAATGTGTGTGAACATTAGAACAGGCTGTGGCATAGACTATGTACTGGATAAATGATGGGAAAAACTTACTTTTGTTAATTACTAGTGATCTTTTATTGCTTTTTTTATAAAATATTTAAATATCACCTCTCGTGTACCAAACTTTATTTTAATTGCATTGCATTTGTTAACTAATTTAATGTGATAGCTTTTTAAGTCTTAGAGTAAGCCAATGAGGGTAGGTACAATTATTTTTCCTATTTTAGGAAAAGGACAGAATGGTTAAATTCGTTGTTCAAGATTAAATGGCTAATAAGTGGTAAAGCCTAGGTTTGAAACAGAGTAGGTGGCAACAAAGTCAGTGCTCTTAATGACTGTATTTTATTAATTATAAAGGAGCAGTTGTCTTCTTAATTCTATTTAGCAACAACTCTATTTTTTTGATGATTTCAATAAACAGAAATTTTAATACACTTAAGAATGAAAATTGAAATTCTTGTGGTGTTAGTGTTTTTTGGTTTTTGGTTCTTGGGGGTTTTTTTTGTTTGTTTTTTGTTTTGTATTTTTCTTTTTTCCAGACAGAATCTTGCTCTGTTGCCTGGGCTAGAGTACAGTGGCATCATCATAGCTCACTGCAACCTCGAAACTGGGCTCAAGCAATTCTCCTGCCTCACCTTCCCCAGTAGCTGGGACAACAGGTGTGCACCACCATAACTGGATAATTTTTGTATTTTTTTAGAGACAGGGTCCCTTTATGTTGCTCAGACTGGTCAACTCCTGGCCTCAAGAGATCCTCCTGCCTCAACCTTCCAAAGTGCTGCCCTTACAGGCCTGAGCCACCATGCCCAGCCGTGGATTGTTGATTCTTAATGTAGGTCAAGAAAAACTTGCAGTTATCCAGTTCTTTAACTGTCTTTCCACTCAGTTTTTATCTTAAATCCCTTCTTAAAAATTTGGCCATTCTTCAGTTTATTCACTATTTTTCAAAATATTTTTTAAAAAAGTTTTAAAAATTGTAGGAAAATGGAAACATTAACTTGAGTATTTTTTTCCATTGAATTCTGTTTTTTTATAGTAAATGAACTGTCAGCTCTCATGGAGGATGGACGTTCTCAAGTTCTTCTAGCAAAAGTTTATAGTAAAATGGAAAGGCCTGGTGATGCGATCACTTCATTACAGCAGGTGAGCACGTTGTTTGTCAGCAGGGTCCCGGGGTGACAGGTGAGGACAGAAGGGAGTATGCCACATGTAAGAGGAAAACAATCTCTTTTGGCCCAGCAGTCACAGAAAAGGAAGGCAAAATAGAAATAAGGATTAGATGCTTATGGCTGTACAGTTTACATATATTATTGCTGATAATTATAACACTTAGAGAAAGTTGATGTTGTTAGTCCTGTGTTACAGCTGAGGAAACCTGGCTTCATAACTTGTGTGAAGCGCCTGACTAGTGTCATAATCAGGCTTTGAGCTCCTGCTTACTTCCTCCATTCACTTAGTTCTTCTTTACTTTTTAAAAATATTTTTTTGTTCTCAAAGTAGAGGTGTTACACACATTTCCTTACATGTGTTCCTAAGTAGTTACTGTCTTTTGATTACTTCAATTTCTAGTTTGCTAACAGTTTTTTATAAGAGACTTAAATATTATCAAATGCATTCTCTGCATCCATCAAGAGAGTCGTATGACTTTTCTCCTTGTTCTTTTAATGAAGTGTATTATTAAGTTTCAAATGTTAAACTAAACTTGAAATAAATATCACCTTGTTACAGTTTTTTAACAGATATCGCCAGATATTGTTTTCTAATATTTCTTATTCAGGATTTCTACATGTGTATTCAGAAAATAGACTGATGCTGTTTCTTTGGTGTTCACAACAATTCAATACTGAAACCATTGGGACCTTGAGACTTTTTTGATAGAAATTTTTTATTAATGGATTCGCCTTCTTTAATAGATTTCAGACTGATCATTTTTATATTTCTTCTTATATCAGCATAAATGATCATATTTTTAAGTAATTTGTTGAGTTCATTAAACCGACAGATTTGTTGACATAAATTTGTTCATTATATCTTTTCTTTTGAATGTCTATAAGTGCTATGAAAATGGTCTTTTTTCCAGAGCAGATATTAGTACTTTTATTTTCTTTCTTTTTTTAATATGCAGTTATGCTAGGGATTTATTATTTTATTCATGTATTTTCTTTTGCCTTTTCTGACTTCATTAAATGTTTTCTTTTTACATTATAATTAGTTTCTTCTACTTTCTTTGGGCATGATTTACTGATCTTTTTTTAGCCTATTCAAATAGGAGATAATAGATTGTTAGCCTTGTTCCTTTCTTACTCATTTAAGACAATAAATTTTTCTCTAAACATTGCTTTAGTAGCATTGCACAAGTTTATTATTATTCAGTTCAAAATATTTCTTAATTTTTACTTTGATTGCTTCTTTGACCCACGGGTTATTTAAAAGTGTAGTGTTCAATTTCTAAGGAGTTCTGATTTTTTTCTTGGTTTGTTTGTTTATTTTTTGCGGAATAGTCTCACTTGGTTGCCCTCAGTAGAGTGCCATGTCATCATACCTCACAGCAACTTCAAACTCTTGGGCTCAAACAATCGTGCCTTAGTCTCCCAAGTAGCTGGGACTGCAAGTACCAGCCACAGTGCCAGCTAATTTTTTTATTTTTTTGTTTTCTTTCATGTTAATTTATAGTTTAAATCGACTATGGTCAAAGACATATTTTGAATGATTTTAAATGGCTTTTTTTTTTTGAATGGTTTTAAAATTTGTTGAAGCTTGTTTTATGATGCTACATGATTTTCAGTCAGTTTTGGTACAGGTCCCAAGTGGATGTGAAGTATGTGTCGCTACCATTACTGATCGACAATCAACTATTGTCGATTAGATCAAATTTGTTGATTGACTTTTTGCAGCTCTTGGGGGGTTTGATTGTTATTGTTTGTTTGTCTTTGGTCTGTTTGTATAATTTGCTTTTATGAGAAGTATGCTAATGTCTTTCAATGTGATTACAGATTTATCTGTCCCTGTTTAGGCCTATGCATTTTTTTTTTTTTTTTTGAGGTATAGTCTCACTATGTCACATATTGTAGAGTGCTGTGGCGTCCCAGCTTACAGTGACCTCAAGCTCTTGGGCTTAAGCAATTCTCTTTCTGCAGCCTCCTGAGTAGCTGGGACTATAGGTGCCCACTACAATGCCTGGCTATTTTCTGTTGCAGTTGTCATCATTTAGCTGGCCCTGGTCAGGTTCGAACCCACCAGCTTTGATGTATGTGGCTGGCACTGTAACCACTGTGCTATGGGCGCCAAGCCAGGCCTAATGCATTTTTGTTTCATTTATTTAGAAGATGTATTATTGAATGATCCAGATTTAGAATTGTACCATCTTCCTGGTGAATTTACTTCTCTATAATTATGAAATGGCCTTTTTGATTTCTCGTACCGTTTCTCGCTTTAAAGTCTCCTTTGGCTGAGATTTGTGTAGCCCCTGAAGCTTTCTTTGATTAGTGTTTGCATAGTATGGCTTTTCCCATGTCTTTAAGTTGAAGATCTTTCAGCATAAAATTATTTTTTTCTTTTATCTATTCTAGCAATCTTAATCTTTTCATTAGAATATTTATTTTGTTAACACTTAATATAATTATGTATTATGTGTGGATTAATATCTGACATCTTATAATCTGTCTTCTTTTTGAACTTTTCTTTTTTGGGTTAGTAAAATTGTTCTTGTTCCATTTTCCCCTCTATTTGTCATTTTTCTTTTTTCATTGTGTTTCAGTGTTAGTTATATAACAACATAAATCCTCTTCTTATCCAAACTCCCTTCCTTTGCCTTTGTCTTTCCTATTATTGTTGTCATGCATTAAACTAGTTATTTGAAACTTTGTTTATAGTTTACAATGATATATTTTACTCTAGTACCAGACACTGAAAGATTTTTAAAGAATCCTTTGAATAAGTAACAGATAATTAAGAACTACCTAGTTTTATGTAGAAAGATACTTTTATGCATATATTAAAGAATCCTTTGTATAATAATCAGGTAATAAGAACTATCTAGTAGTTGTATGTGGAAAAGATATTTTTATGCATATATATTTGTTTTCTTAACATTTATTTAGCATTCTGTGATTTCATATTCCAACCCTCTGCCACACCTCTATCTCATGTCTAGATATCTGGAAATCTAGAACACATCCCAGGATGTCCCCTATAGAACAGAGGCAGCAATTTTAACAAAATAAGTTATTGCTGGTACCAAAATACACTGGCAATGCAAACAAAAGAGTATCACCTCAAGAATCCTAGATTGCTACTTACTTAGGTCCCCATGGTGTGGTATTTATCATGGTTAATCCAGAACTGACCCATAGCCATGGATTCTCCAAACCTTAATCCAGTCATTGACCCAAATGATTGAATGTGTGTGTCATGACAAAGCTCTTGAGAAATATTAACAATTTATGACTTAACAGTGACTGAGCATACATCATTCTCATTGACCTGACCATTCTCTTGTCAAAAGCATAGTGCATGCAAAGTCAATTGATTAAAAGGTTATCTATTAAACATGAAACAAGAATTGGAGCTGCTTATGGACCTGGATGCCTGTCTTCCACTACATTATACCCGGGAACCTATAGACGCTTCTTGCATGAATGCTGACAAACTTTAATAGCTCTGAATTTCTATGCTTTCATTAGCCATTACTACCCATTCTCCTTCTAAATCGAACATTTATTCTTAAAATGGTAAGACCTGTCATGTTTTCAGATTTATAGGATAACATTTAAGTGGTTTTGCCTACCTTGCCCATTATGTGTTGATTTTATAGCTTAACTCTAAGAGAGATAATTTTACTTCCCAAGTTCCAGGGAAGCACTTTAACATTCCCCAAATAGGATCTACCATATTGGTTTGTTTTACAGTTGTCTAGCTTCTGGAAATAAATGTGAAATGGTGATTATACATTAATAATCTTTTGCCTTCTTAATACTTCATATTTAAAAAAAGTCTCCCACTATTTTCATCTCATTCTATTTTTCTGTATCTGTGACCTCCTGTGATATGTTGGAAACAGGTCTCTGAGGGTAAACAAATAGCTCATGTTTGAACTACACTCAATTTCCAATGGAGGGAGGAGCCCACAGGGAGTGTTTGCAAAAGATTATGTAGCTTATTAGTGGAAGAGCGTAAAGGAGAACGCAGAGCACAATACTCACCCTGTGTGCTCTGTAGGGTACTACAGTTTTCATTTGATTTTCAACCCAGAGGAGTTCTGCATTCTGCAAATAATTTATTAAATGTTTTGCTTTTGAGCTTTAGCTGACAATGAGGTAGATATGTATGCATACCCACCAATGTTTCCATGGCAATGTCCCTGATTTTTTTGTTCTAGCTGTGAATGAATTGGACCATTAGATTTTTGTGACAGCCATCTAACGTTACAGTATCATTAAAATACGTAATCTTCAACAACATTAACATCTGATACTTATTGGTGGTATCTTCTGATCCCTGCTTTCTAAATCACATGATAGAGATGTGCACCTAACTCTAGGTTACCTACCAGTAGCTACAAGGGAAGTGTCATTTTGGTAAATTTAGAGTTTTAATACATTTTAGAAGTGAATTTCGTATATTTCACCCCTTTATGGATATCGTTAGTCCCAGTCACCCTGGTTATCTGAGCACCTATAAGAACACAGATGTCAAGCTAGACAGTGCCAACAAGCCAAACTCTTATTAGTTTGAAGTTTGTATGTTATAGCACAGGGATTGTTCATCTTTAATAAAATTCAGAGAATCATTCCTCCCAGCTATATTGTGCTACTCATTCTGATTGACAAAAAGGTGCAATTCAAACAGAACTTATAAGGGGAACCAAAACTTTTGATTTTTATATTCATTTATTCAATAATCATTTATTGACCTGAATTCTCCACATTATGTAACTTTGGAATTCCATCATAGTATTTTTACATAGTTGCTAAACATTTTTGGAAATGGCAGAACTGGTAAGTTTAGAGAATCACAAATCATGATTTCTGCTTTCTGAACATTTTAGACTTCTGAAATCACTTCACATTTCTTTAGCCTCCCTGTCATCTTTTAGCCCTCTCCATCATCTTTTGCTAGATTACTGCACTGGCCTCCTCATCGAT